CAAAGTAGATTATATCTTTGTCTTTAGATTTAATTTAAACGGTGGAATTTGGATTTTCTCAAATATTTACAAGTCATTAAATCCTATGTCAGATTTATAAGTAAAATATACAAGTAAAGCAAGTCACTTTACAAGTAAGATGTAGTTTTTATATGTGATATTTCTAAAAAAAGACATAAAGTTGAATTTGGAGAATTCACTAATTTGGGGTAACACATTTAAAACCTTCAACTTTGTTTTACATCTCTTTAAAAATGCAAGTATAGTTGACACAGAATATTACATTTCTTTCAGGTATACCACATAGTGATTCAATATCTCTATACATCTGTCACCATACAACACTATTACAATATCATTGACTATATTCCCAAAGCTGTACCTTTCATCTTCAGGACTTACTCATTCCATAACTGGAAGCCTGTACCTCCTACTCCTCCTCACCCATTTTGCCCATCCCCTCACTTGCCTCCCCCCCTGGCAACCATCAGTTTGTTCTCTATGTTCCCTGCTTCTTAGTTTATTCATTTGTTTTGTTTTTTGGGTTCTGCACATAAGTGAAATCATATGGTATATGTCTTTCTCTGACTTATTTCCCTTGGCATATTACCCTCTAGGTCCATCCCTGTTGTTGCAAATGACAAGATGTCATTCTTTTTATGGCTGAGTAATATTCCATTGTATATAGATCCCACATCTTCTTTATCTATTCATCTATCTACAGACACTTGGGTTGCTTCCATATACTGGCTATCGTAAATAATGCTGCAATAAATACAGGGGTACATATATATCTTTTCACACTAGTGTTTTCATTTTCTTTGGGTAAATACCCAGCAGTGGAATTACTGTTCTATGGTATTTTAATTTTTAATTAATTTCCAGCTAATTTTATTTTTTAGTTTTAATTTTTAATTTTTAATTTAATTTTTAATTTTTAATTTTAGAGGGAATTCCATACTCTTTCTCATAGTGGGTGTGCCAATCTGCATTCCCACCAGCAGTGCACAAGGATTCCTTTTTCTCCATGTCTTCACCAACACTTGTTAGTTCTTGTCTTTTTGATCCTAGCCATCCAAACAGATGTAAGGTGATATCTCTTTGGGGTTCTGATTTGCATTTCCACGATGATGAGTGATGTTGCGCATCTTTTCATGTGTCTTTGCCATCTGAAAACCTTCCATTTTTAATTTTGCTCATGTGAGACTGAGACTTCATGAAAAATATTTGAGACACTTTGCCTGGTTCACACCATATTTAATAAATATTAACTTTGCGTAAGTGTCAGGGACACAAGATTGAACATGGCATGGTTCCTATCTTTAAGCAGCTCACAAATTAAAAACTCTTTGAGGTTTCCCTCGTTGAGATGAACTTACTTTTTTCTATTAATCCATTCTTTTTACTGTCCATCCGTCTCATCATTCTTCTACTCCATAAGCTATTTCTCTTTTCCTCCAGCTCATATACTTTAACTTCAAAATTCTGCTTAAATTTCTCCTCTTCCAGAAAGCCCTCCCTACATTGTCCAGTCTCATCTAATTGTATCTTTCTCCAACCCCACAAGGCTAAGGACACTTTTGTCCCACAGGCATCTCAATTTCAACATGAACAGAATGGAACTCATCATCCCCATCTTGTCCAGCCCCCTCCAGTAGTGTTCCCCACTTAAATGATGCTGCTATTATCCCCCTGGGAACCCAAACCAGAAACCTTGGGGCAAACAGAGACTCCTCTACTTTCCCGAACCCCACATTCAGTGAAAGCAAGCAGGTCAATTCTACCTTCCAGCTATCCCTTGGTTTTGCTCCTGCTTTCTCCTTACTGTCAGGCAACTATCTTCATTTAGGTCCTCTTTCTTTGTTACTTCAGTCACCACCTGTCTTAAGGGAGTCTCCTGAAAAGCAGATCCCAAAACAAGGATTTGGGTATGGGTTGTTTATTTGGAAGGTGATCCTGGCAAGGGTTCTGAGGGAAGGGGGATGTGAGATGCGGAAGATGAAGAGAGACAAGAAAAAGTGGCTGAGTGGGTCACCACAGAGGACAACTGGGGCCCAATCCACTGTGACCTCCCCCCAACCCTTGAGAGACTTGGGGGAACATGCTTCGGAATTGTCTTCCCGAGGCATGAGGAAGCTAGGGTATTTGTCTACTGACCCAAGCCCTCTCCTAGGGCCAAAGTGTGTGCCCTCAAGAGAGACACAGGAAAGCATCAGCATGTGTGGGGACAGGCTGTGGAGATCTCAGAGGATGGGAAGTGTGTGTGTGGGGGGATGCTCTAATAGGAGTGGCCGTGCCTGCTAACTGGTCATCCTGCCTCCTGTCTTGCTCTCCTTCACCTGCTCCCAACTACTGCCCTAAGTGATCCTTCAGAAATGTCAGATAGGTCAAAGTATCCCACCTTTTGAAATTTGTCAGTATTTCCCATTGCTTTCAGAAAGAAATCCAAATGGCCTAGCTGGATTTGCTAAGGCTCTGCACCATCTCAGTCTTCTGGCCTTATCTCCCACCACTCCTGAGCACTTAATCCAGACTCCAGGCTTCAGGCACAATATACTAGCCATGGTTTCTCTCTTGAGCCACACTCATTGCATGCAGTAGTCCTTCTGCCTAAAGGCCTGCTCATAAATATTTAAGGAACTTTTACTTCCTTGTCTATTATAGGCCAGGCACCGTGCTAGGCATTTTGGATCAACAAAGAATGAATCACAGTTCTTGTCTTCAAGGAGCTCATTCTCCAAAAGGGAGAAGGCAGACATACGTAAAGAAGCACTTCCACTAGGCACTATATTACGGAAACGCTCTTAGAGAAAATGATGCCTAAGTGGAGACTTAATGGTTATAAAGGGGGTTTACCGTGCTCACAGGAAGAAACAGCCTGGTGTGTGGAGAGAAATTTCTTAGATTTCTGAATGGCAGGAAGACATGAGGGTGACGCTGGCCAGGGGGTCAGGGATTACTGCCTCCAAGAGAGCTTGGGCTTTATTCTTCCGATCAAGACATAATGAGGGGGCCCCTTTTTCATCCTTCCGGACACTTTGTAGTTTCACTATGGGACTGCCTCCTCCAAGGAGCCCTCTGTAACTGTCTTCCCTTCTTAGATACTCATCTTCTGTGCTTTTCTGGTGTCCTCAAAAACCTCTCTCTTGGTGATTAGCAGACTGGCTTGTGTTTTAAGGTGTATCTCACCCGTGGCCTGCTGGCCCCTTTGAAGGAAAGGCAGCTCTTGGTCACTTCCATATCACAGTGCCTACTACAATGCTGAGTCCTTTCAATTCAGACATAACCTGCATACCTGAATGTGTTAAGGAGGCCAGAAAGAGTTGGAGGACTGAAAGATGATGCTTCTCAGAAGTCCCCTCCAAGCCAGTGACACACACGTGTTCTGCACATGGTCTATGCCAAGCTGAGTGCTGGAAGTTGCTGAAGACATTGAACTTCAGACACATGCTTTTGAGACCTGAATAGAAGCTGCAATGATTTCCTAAAATTGGTTATTTTGATTGCAAATAATAGTGATTATGCTTTGCTAATGTATTTCCACGTGACTCGCTGATTTACACCAAGTTTTAATGTGTTTTCAAAACTTGCCTATAGTTCTTGCTGCTGGCTCTTCTGAAAACTGATACTATGGGGCTCTGAGCAGAACTCCAGGTTTATTTTCCAGTGTCTGTGTGCTGCTTTTGTGTTGGGTTCTCCTCGGTACCTTGCCCCGTCCTTAAGAGAGGAAACCCGCGAGCCTCCAGCTTCCTTTGTAACTTCCCAGTTCGTCTGCCCAGCGTCTGAGCATCGGCTCACCCGCCCCAATCACTGTTTCAAAGTGCTGCGGTACTGAGTTTCTCATCTTCCAATGAAAATAACCATTTGGCTTTCTGTTCTTTGCATAGGCAACTCTGGGTGCAGATGTAGGCAGTGTGGCTGTAGAAACTCTTCAGAGATCAGCAGGCTTCGGGATGCAAGGACCAACAATGGCTCACCTCCTGATGACCTTCGTCACCAAAACCAATAACCCCACAAAACAGAAGGGCAGTCCCAAGCACGTCTCCTTTGCACCTCTCTCAGAAGACAGTATGCAGAGTGGTTGAGAGTTCAAATCCTCAGTGCTCTCTTCTCTTAAACTGTGACCTCAAAGGGTCGCTTTAGCGCTCGGCTTCCCTTTCCTTTTCTGTAAAATGGGAACAGAAATTGAATCTACTTCATGGGGGTTGTTGTAAGGAATACATGAGCTAACACGTGCAAAATGTTCCGCACATAGTTTGGCGCTCAAAGCACACTATAGCTATGCCTATTAGTAATTCGCTATTATGAATACTGGAGAGGAGGTTGTGTCTCCCCCGCGACGTAGGGCGCTCGGCTCACCAGGCTGAAAAGGGGTTGCCCACTCCAGGCCCCTGCACGTCCTGCTCTCTCCGGGCCCGGGTCCGAGCCGCCGGGGCGCGCCAGGGACCGGAATCCCATTGTGCTTGCTCAGTGAGGGTGACCGGGCTGCGGCCCAGACGCGAGCACAGGTGCGGCCCTGACCACAATGAGGGCGTGGGCGCGTGTGTGGCGAGCAGAGGTCTGCGGGGGAGGGGGGGTGCCTGGCGTTGTCTGAGGGCGGGGGTGGGGGGAGAAGGAGGCTGGCCGCGGCCCCAGGAGCTCGGTAGGAGGTGTCTGGGCCGGCCCGAAGGACTCCGCCTGGCACCGGACTCGGGGCGTCTGTCGAACTCGCGCCCCGGAGCCCCGCCCCCGCCCCCGGGGCTCCGCCCCTCCGTGCCCCCGGTTGGCTGGAGCCGGCGGCCACGCGCGGCGATTTGCCACGCGCCGCGTCACTAAAGCCGCTCCCGGTCCCGGCCCCAGTGGGCTGGTCAGGGAGGCGGCGGCAGGGGGAGGCTGGGGCTGCAGGGTGCGACGCCGCCGGGCCGCCCCGCCCCGCCCTGTGAGGCGCCTAGGCCCTCATCAAGTGACCAGTATCCCTTCCAGGAGAACACGGTCCTTCAGAGGGAAGCGAGCTCCAGCCTGTAGCCCCGGCGCCAAACCGCCGTCATCTCCTTCCTGTGCCGGGTGATCCGTCTCCTCACCCACCCGGAAAAACATAGTCCGCCCCTCGCGTCCTTGTGGAGTAGCGTTTGTTTCCACTGTGACTCTCTTTGCCCGCACCTTCGTCTTTCCCATCCCAAGTACTCTAGGACCCACCGAGAGGATAAGTCAGCTCTGAACAGAAACCTCAAACGAAAAGAGAGAGAAGGCACCGAGTGCAAGGGAGGGAAAGGCGAGGCTGGCGGAGGGACACCGAGGACCGGTGCGTAGTGCGCACGCGCGGCGGCAGGAACGAGTTCCGGTCTGGCCGGGGCCTGTCTCCTAAAAATAGCCCCGGTGTGGGGATCCGTGCGCGGATGTCCCGGCGAGTCCCGGGCTGAAGGAGGCGGCTCCGGGCGGCGCGGAGCGCTGGTGGCTGGCCCGGGCTGCAGCGTGTTTGCGCTCGCCAGCTGCGCCGGAGACACGGTGAGGGCCGCGTCGGCGGGGCTCGGTCCGCGGGGTCGGCGGTGCCAGAGGGGGCGGTGTCTCGGCGAGGGGGCCGGGTAGGAGCTGGGGGGTGCTGGGGCGGGGGGCGGCGCGGCCGAGGGGCGCTCGCGGGGCTCCGGGGACGGCAGGGCAGGGCGGCGTCCGGGTGGCAGGGGGCGGGGGTCCCGGGCGCGCGGCGACGGGGCGGGTGGGGTGCGGGGAGGCGGCGCGGGGTGGTCGCATGGGGTTGGCGCTGAGGGGCGAGGCGCCCGCGGTGGTGGGGGCGGGGTGCCCCGAGGGCGGGCCCGGGGTCTGACCGGTGTCGCGGGCTGGCGGAGGGAGGCTCGCCGTGCGGGCTCCGCGCGAGGAGCCTCCCTGGGCGCGCGCCGCGTTTGGGGCTGGGGGGCGGTGGTGGACGACGCCTCCTTGAAAGTTGAGGGAGTTCCCTGGGGGCCCGGAGCCTCTCCGGGGCGGAGCGCCCGAAGGCCCTTTCCTGCCTCCTGCTCTCCGCGCCCGGGTCTCCCTAAAGGATTGACCCCTCGTGCCGGGGGCGCTCTGCGCGGTGGTTGGACTTGAAGAAGTTCCCCCACTTCTGCTTTGGGAGAAGGTTGGTCGAAGCGGGCGGAACATTCAGGGCCGAACTCTCGGCGCGTGTGTGGAAATGTCAGTGGCCGGGTCGGTATTTGGGGCGGGCGGGGAGATGGCCCGGCTGGGGGCACCTGCGGGGTGCGGACGCCCCCCGGTGCAGGGAGACGTCGCGGGGAAGGAGGGGCTGCAGAGGGAACAGCTAGTTGCCGTGACATCCCGGTGGATCCCGGCTCTCAGGGAAGGTTTTACGTGGTACAAACTTTGCCATTTAGTTCGATATCCTCTGTCTTCGAACCGCGAGGATTAAATTGGTAGGTGAGAGAGTGCACACAAGTTTCGAGGAGGTGAGCATCCCTGAATTAGAAAAACAATTCCCCCCCCCGCCCCCGCCGTGAAAGTGTAACTATAAAAATGTTCTTCAGACCTGAAGTATGATTTCTGGGCTACGAAGCCAGCCCCCTGTCATGGTCCAGTAGGGAACCCGTGTGTAGATTAAAGAAGTGCAGCATAGTGTTGACCTGCATTTTAGTTTACAAGATTGGTATTGCAATTAGTGTGCTATTAGGCCTGCTGTGATGTGTTAACAATGGTATAAGTATTTTTAAACAAATGTCTAAAATTTTTCAAGTTTTTTTTTTTTTTTTTTTTTTAGCACAGCATGCTTCCCCTGTGTCTTGTATCATCTTTTACTATATGAAGAGAAGGTTCTCCAAAGCCGTAATGAGGTGTACATTACACAAGAGTACTTTCCCTTTAAGAATCCAGCTGTGTTGTTTTGGCAACTGCCAAGTACTCCAGTTGTCAGTTTTAAAATCTGTTACCTTGGCAGTACTTGAACAGTCTGTGGAAAAGGTAAACAAAATAGCTTAAAAAAAATTTAAACACAAAAATGGCACTTACTTTAATATGAATTTATAAGATGAGGATAAAATACATATGTTGTGCTATCATGGGTTTTGTATGTACATTTTTTTTTTCTGGTATATTTTTGGAGGGTTCAGTCTTTACTCTTATTTTTCCTGCGAATGGCAACTTTTGTTTTAGGAGAAAAGTTAAAAGTGTTTTCATTAAAGTGGATGCCAGTTTTAGTTAGACTTTATAACAAACATAAGGAACACATGTGTTCTCCAGAATAGTAAGATTACTTCTATATGATGATGCACTAATTGATTCTGGAATCACTTTTAATTCTCAGTGAGCATTGTAAAAAGTTGTGGTAATAGTGTTATAATGAAACACTGTGAAGAGCTAAAGCTAGTGATTTACTTTGCAGACCCAGTCTTTAACAATTCTTTTGGAAGAGTGCTTCCAATAGAAACTTTCTTGTTAAAACAGTCAGCCATGGTGAAGTAATAATGACTTCTCTAAACATAATTATTTGCATATCTGTTTCATTTAATTCACATTATTGTTATATATAAAACCATGGTTATTCATATTGGAACAAAGGTGATAAAATTATGTTTAACTCCTTAAATTACTTCCCAGCAAAAGTTTAAAATGTTGAGGGAATGAGATGTAGGGGGTGTTCAGTGGAAGGAAAGTAGCTCCTAGGGGCACAGAAATAATAATTGTAATGTTACTGTGTTGAATTATGGTTTGAGAATAATTTCCTTCTAAATTCTTAAGAGTTTCTATGTTTCTTTAATCAGTATGTGTGTCAGAGATTGTTTTTGGTAAATGCAACCAGAAATAATTTTGAAATATATATCGAGTTGTTTCAAGTGGTGATGTTTTGTTTTTCAAAGCAGTTGCATTATAGCTTTGTATTTTTCTTTTAGAATGCAATACAGGTTAATATTAATTTTATTAATATTCAAGCAATAGCAATGTCACTCATTAACTGGTTATCAAGAGAGAAATATCAGTGTATTTTGAGGGTGGTTAAGTAATTATGGAAGTGTTTTTTTATTAGAACATGATTTTGAAGTTTGAAATATTTCAGTTATATCTTTCAGGAGATTTGTGCTCTGATTTAGGAGGAGGAAACTGTAAGCCAGTTTGTTTTCTTCTGGAAGTAACATGCTTGTCAATCAAGTTTTGGAAAACTACCTTTTTTTTTTTCCTTTGCTGCTTATAAGTCTGGCAGAGGAAATTTAGCCTAACATACAATGATGGTCTTGAATTTTCTGTGCATATTTCCAATTTTATATATTTTGCCTTTGAATCACACCATATTCCTATTTTTTTTTTTTTTTTATGGAGACATGCTCGTGGTACATATGAATGCTACAAAGTCTAGCTGAAGTTGTTTTTTGTTAGTGATAGAGCAATGAAAATACTGCTTTGTGGGTTGAAGATGATCAGTATTGCTTTTTTCCAGATTAGAAAGAAAATCTGTGAACATTCTTCGTAAATTGAGAAGTGAGTGCCTTCTAATGTTTAATAAGAGAGGTGTAAATATGGAAAATCTAATCAATCTTCCAGTTAGATAACCTCCTGCAAAAGAACACTTTGACAGGTCCTGCTGTGTTTGTAAGACTTTGTCATCACATCTTGGTTCAGATGCCAGCTCTGCCACTTACGATGTTATCAGACATCTTCTATAAAATGGGAAGGAATTATACTACCTGCCCCATGGAATTGTTAGCGTTAAATGAAATAATGGGTGTGAGAGTTCCTAGCACAGGCTAATGTACAACAATGCATATTGCCTGATCTCCCTTTATCCCTTCCTCTGTATATCCATTCCTCTAAACATTCCCTTATTTCCTATGAAGACTATATATGTACTCTGCCAGTACCTGAATGTTTAGTGTCTGTGACCAAAAGGACTTCTTATAATGTATAAATACAGGAGAATGCTCATATATATTTTTGGGCATAAAAATCCCAGCACTTTAAATTCATTGTCACAATATATATACATAAAATGTTTATTTAGCTGTCCTATATGAGGTTTTTGATTTGCAATCATGGATTGTAGCCTCCAACAGTCTCTCCAAATATTAAAAAAAAAAAAATCAGAGTTAAATGTATTTTCCCTACTCCTCAGTGAAATATGTCTTTTAGGAATTATCTGTGGGAGTTGTCTTCAACATACAGTATTTAAAATTTGAAGTTAGAAAAATATTTTTATTTCCTGGAATAGGTATATTTTAAAAATAACTTTTCTTTAGTGGGTAATCTTTAAGCTTTTATATGTCATTTTACTGCTGTGTGGAACTAAATGATTTTGTCTGTGTATGCTTTATTTGTGTAATCTATAATGGACCCTGTGTCCAGTTTATTATAATAAAGAGTATAAACCCATTTTTTAGTCTCATGCATAGTGTACATGTTGACACTTGTTTTAATAAAAACTTTATTTTTATACAGATATTTGTTATTTACTGATTTTAATAATTGTATTTACTGAACTTAATTGATATTTACTAAACTTAATATTTAATATTGAATTGTCTTAGTAATCGATGAAATCACAAGCTTATGAGTTAAGAAAAAATTAGCTGGTTTGTGAGGTGGATAGAATACCAAATATTTGAACATTGGTGTATGACAGCAGGTAATTTACTTCCATCAGTTTAATAAGTGATGATGCTGAAAGCCAGAGGAATTGTTAGCCTGGGTGAAAAACAGACAGTTGATCAGACTTCTAATAAATATCAATGAAGGCACCTCTTTTTATGGTTGTCTTGCATCAGTACTAATTTTATTTTCTTCCTTATACAAAAATATAAACTTTATGAATTTAAAAAAGAATTCAACCATCAATAACATTCTGTGTTTTGAGAAATGTTTTGGTAGTGGGTGGTAAATTTATGCTACATAAGCTGGACCTTTTTACTAGGTTATTTTTGTTACAAGCACTATGCTATACGTGTTGACTTGGATTAGTTTGAGGTATGATTTGTGACTGTTGGAACAAAGAGAAACTCTTCATTTAACCTGGTAAAATAACTTGTAACTGTTGGCTTAGTGAAACAAGGTGCTCTTGCCTTGACTAATACCATGCTTGCTGTCTCACCTCTTATCCCCTAGCAATTCATCTTTTACATGGAGACTGGAATTATATTTCTAAAATTCACATGTAAATGTCATTCTTTTAAGGAAATATTTGAAGACATAAAATCAGTAGAGAGGCAGTAATTTAAGGGATAAGAGATTAGCCTCTAAAATCAAGATTGCCTAAGCTAGAATACCCACTCTGGCAGTTTGTGTTCTTTGGCAATTTCTCAATCTTCATGAGTTTGGTGTATAAAATAGTGATTATAATATTACCTTTTTCATAGAGTTGTTGAGAGGATTAAATGAGATGTGTGTTATAAAGCCTTTAGCACAGTGCTTGGTACCTAAAATACAGTAATTTTTACCCCTACTATTACTATCACTGTTGCTTCTGCTATTGCCGTTATTAGTCATGGTTCACTTTATATGATTCTCTCTGATCTTTTCAGGCTCATTGTCAGCCA